GAAAGTGATCACTTTGACTAGTGAGATGACATTGGTACATGCCACCTTGATGGCATTGAATTGGAATCCCCTGGCCCGTTTCTAGCTCTACCATTAGGGGTAAGTTCAAGTGAGCATGTGCCAAACTGCACATCTCCTCCCTCTCTTATTCCCACTCTTATATTTAACAGGGATCACTTTTCAGTTAACTTTAAATGACTAAGAATAATTGTGTGTTCATTAAGTGTTCAACCAATGGTATTATGTAGAAGAAAAAGTACTAAAAGGAATAAAATAGTAAGTTGTTCCTCAACAGTCGGACAAGAGCTGATCAAGTCATTGTTTCTCATAGTGTCCATTTCACTTCTATAGGTTTCCTTTTAAGTGCTCAGTTAGTTGTCACCGATCAGGGAGAACATCTGATATTTGTCTCTTTGGGACTGGCTTATTTCACTCAGCATGATGTTTTCCAGATTCCTCCATTTTGTTGCAAATGACCGGATTTCATTGTTTTTTACTGCTGTATAGTATTGTATAGAGTACATATCCCATAATTTCTTTATCCAGTCTTCTGTTGATGGGCATTTTGGTTGATTCCATGTGTTAGCTATTGTGAATTGAGCTGCAATAAACATTGAGGTGCAGACATCTCTTTTATTTGCCAATTTAATTTCCTTTGGGTAAATTCCAAGGAGTGGGATGGCTGGCTATATTCAGGTTTCTAAGGAATCTCCAAACTGTCTTCCACAGTGGCTTTACCAGTTTGCATTCCCACCAACAGTGGATTTGTGTGCCTTTTTCAGCACATCCTCAGAGGCATCTGTTGTTAGTTGATTTCTCTATGTATGCATTTCTGTATGTATACATTTCCCTGATGAATAGTGATCCTGAACATTTTTTCATGTGTTTGCTGTCTGTTTGGATTTCCTCTTTGAAAAATGTCCTTTTCGGTCCTTGGCCCATCTCTTAAGTGTGCTGTTTGTGGTGGAGTTTCTTGATCTCTTTGTAGATTCTGGCTATTAATCCTTTATTGGTTGGATAATTTGCAAATATTTTTTCCCATTCTGTCGGTTGCCTCTTCACTTTCCTGACTATTTCTTTTGCAGTACAGAAACTTCTCAATTTGATGTAATCCCAATTGTTAATTTTGGCATTGACTGCCTGTGCCTCCTGGGTCTTTTCTAAGAAGTTTTTGCCTGTACCTATATCTTGCAGGGTTTCTCTGATGTTCTCTAATAATTTGATGGTGTTGGGTCATAGATTTAGATCTTTAATCCATGTTGAGTGGATTTTGGTTAAGGTGTAAGGTAAGGGCCTTGCTTCATGCTTCTGCATGTGGAGATCCAGTTTTCCCAGCACCATTTGTTCAATAGACTGTCCTTGCTCCAGGAATTGGTTTTAGATCCTTGATCAAATATAAGTTGGCTGTAGATGTTTGGATTGATTTGTGGTGTTTCTATTCTGTTCCCTGATATCCATCTATTTCTGTACCAGTACCATGCTGTTTATTTTTAACTTTTATTTAATAAATATAAACTTCCAAAGTACATCTTATGGATTACAATTGCTCCCCCCCCATAACTTCCTTCCCACCCGCAACCCTCCCATCAATGCTGTTTTGATTATAACTGCCCTGTAGTATGTCCTGAAATCTGGTATTGTGATGCCTTCTGCTTTGTTTTTGTTATGCAAGATTGCTTTAGCTATTCGCGGTCCCCTGTGCCTCCATATGAATTTCAGCATCCTTGTTTCCAGATCTGAGAAGAATGTCTTTGGTATTTTGATTGGTATTGCATTGAATTTATAAATTGTTTTGGGAGAATGGACATTTTGTTGATATTGATTCTTCCAATCCATGAGCATGGAAGATTTTTCCATTTGTTGGTATTCTCTTCTATTTCTTTCTTTAAGATTTTGTAATTCCCATTGTAGAGATCTTTGATGTCTACATCAAAGTTAAGTGTGTTCCAAGGTATTTGATTGTTTTTGAAGCTATTGTGAATGGGATTGAGTTAAGTGTGTTCCAAGGTATTTGATTGTTTTTGAAGCTATTGTGAATGGGATTGATCTTAGCATTTCTTTCTCAGCCGTGGCATTACCTGTGTATACAAATGCTGTTGATTTTTGTGCCTTCAGTTTATATCCTGCTATTTGCCTCCTTAAGATTTCATTTTCACAAGAGAGATTTTCTGTCCTGTCCTGTATGGATTTCTGTAGTTCATGCATTTGTTTTGGATTACTTCTAAATGTTCTTATCATAAATTTTTTTTGTTATATAGTTATTTTTTTTTACAGAGTTCAACCAATAGTTTTAAATAGAGCATAAAAGATACTAAAAGGGTAAAGTATTAAGTTCTTTTTTTTTGTTACATAGTTTTTTTATTTAATAAATGTGAATTTACAAAGTGCAACTTTTGTATTGTTGTGGCTTCCCTCCCCCTCAACCTCCCTCCCTCCCGTGGCCCTCCCCTCTCACACTCCCTCTCCCATCCTGCCCATCGAGTTTTATTTTCAAATACCTTCATATACTGAAGATCAACTTAGCATATACTAAGCAAGGATTTCAACTCACATCTCATCCTCACTGTGTGTTCTCCCACACACCCTCAGTTTTTTTTTTTTTTTTTTCATTGTCCCGGTTCAGAAGCTCCGCACATTCACAAAGTCTTAGTCTCTTGTTATTACTCCCAACCAGAGTCAGGTTTCCACTTGGCTGAGGACGGGTGCAGCTGTGAGATGGTACAGCTGTTAGGTATGTCCAAAATGGCTCCTGCTCTATTGTCTTCCACACAGGCATCCCAAGCAATGGCATAACTCTTGTACCAAACACCCACACATTAGAAATTTATTTTTCTTATCTTCTGTATTAAAATTGGACCTATATTTACATAAAAAATTGCTTCACATGTGGTTCCATACAAATTTATTTAGCATCTATTATGAGTCCAACTCTGGGTTAAGGAGTGCCAAAATACAGCTTCCCTCAAAGTGCTTACAATTTGATTACTTAATTACAGCGTAAATATGTATTGAGCACAACATCATATATGCATGGGAACTGGGGATATACATCAGTGTACAAACAGGGCAAATTCCTGTCTAACAGAGCTAACATTTCAGAGGGAGTTAGGCTAATCTGAAGCATGGAGCCAGGAGTTTCTTCCGGGTCTCCCATGTGGGTGTAGGAGCCCAAGGACTCGGACCATCTTCTGTTGCTTTCCCAGGCCATAAGCAGAGAGCTGGATCACAAGTGGAGCAGCCAGGACTTGATCCAGCACCATATATGATGCCGGCACTACAGGCAGCGACTTTATCTTTTATACCACAGCACCAGCCCCAAAGCTTACATTTCAGCGAGGCATTGATCAAGGGCACCAGATACTGAAGTGAGATGAAGGAGGATGGAGCTAGACAAAATGCCGTTAGATAGGGCAAGAAGAGTCTTAGGTGGTGGGTCAGAAGCTAGAGCAGAGAGGTTGAAAAGCACAGGGATACTGAGAAATGAAACAGAAAGGCATCAGCCCATTGTTCATGTTGAATTTGAGAGAAAAGTATATGGAGAACTCCTTCCAGAAGACTGGGTGGAGAGAGGACATTTGATTCATTCTGTGGTGATGATATCATTACCTTTCAGAATGTGAGAACAGTTGACTGTCACCTCTTCCTGTAATAGCTATTCCTCAAAATGTATTTAAAATATGTTTTTATAACCATATATAAAATGTCTCAGGCCTAACCATATGTATACATACTTCTGAAATGCTATATATGTAACCTAGCTCAGAGATTGCTAATATTATGTATACTATTTAATTTAGATTTACCCTTTAAACTCGACCTGAAAATGCTCATTTTCAAAAATCAATATAAATATGAATATTCCCTTCCCCTTGGAGTTTTTATTACTGGAAATAACACTTTATCTCCCCTTTAAGTGTGGAACTTTTCCAGTAGATTAAGATGTAAACAGATTCACAAAGCAGACATTTAATCTGGGTTGAAGGTGCACATTCACTTAGACTATAAGGGAAGGCAGTTCTGTGTTTGCTGCTGAGGTAGTGCTACAGAGAGAAAGGGAGAGATGCACACAGAGAGAGGTCGTCCATCTGCTGGTTCATTCCCCAAATGGCTGCAACAGTCAGGGCTGGACATATCGAAATTCAGGAGACTAGAAGTTCATCTGGGTCTGCCATGTGGGTGCAAGGGACTAAGTACTTGGGCCATCTTCCGCTGCTTTTCCAGGTACATTAAGAGGGAGCTGGATTAGAAGTGGAGCAGCTGGGACTCGAACTAACACCCACTGGGGATGCCGATGCTGCAGCAGTGGTTTAACCTGCTACACCACAGTGCTGGCCCTTCAAGATGCTTCTTGAGGTCACAGGTTCCCCAGAAGCAGGAACAGACTTGTCAAATCATCCCAGCTGCAGAGTCCCACAGGCACATAGCCTGGTTTGGATCTGCAAGGTTTGAAAGAGGTAGTTTTGGGGCTTGTGTTGTGCTGAAGCAGGTTAAGCCGCTGGCTGCAACAGAAGTATATGGAATTGCTTGTTGAAGCCCTGGCTGCTCGGCTTCTGATCCAGCTCCCTGCTAATTCGCCTGGGAAGGCAGCAGAAGATGGCACAAGTATCTGGGTCCCTCCAGCCATGTGGAAGGCCTGGATTGCATTTCTGGTTCCTGGTTTCAGCTTTGTGCAGCCATGGTCATTGCAAGCCTTGGGGTCAGTGAACCAGTAAATAGAAGAGTCTTTCTTTCTCACTGTAACTGCATTGCAAATAAATACACAAATCTTTAAAAAGAGAAAGAGCTGGTTTTACATTTCTAGAATCAACCACAAGATGGTCCTTTAGAAAAATTCCTCTCTAGACTGTATATTGTTCTCTTTGTCTCTTGTTTTACCCAGATTTCCTGTGCCTCTCAGATATGCACCAAGTTTCCATGGAGATCTGAAGGGACACTTTCTCAGCCTTGGGAGTGGCAGACACGTAGTGCTTGCTTACATTTGTTGAATTTGTCTTTGCTAGATTCCCCATTCAGTGTGTACCGATCTATGTCCTCCTGGGACCCGGAAGGGGATACGTCACGGGGAACCAACTTGCTGCTTTGAGTGCATTCCATGTGCTGATGGACATGTGTCACGGAGAGCAGGTGAGATGGCTGATCTTTCATTGATAAAAAATTCAATTTGATTAAGCGTGTATTGGCAAAGAGAACCTTGAAAGTCTGCTTTACAAATGGATGTCAATAATCTTTTACCAAATGGCCTTCAATAGCAATTTAACAACAGAAGTTTTAAAGTGTGATTTGTTTTTTTAAATGGGAAATACACAATGAGTCATCTGAACAACTCTCTGGGCTTTGAGTGGCTCAGTTTTTATGTAGAATTGCATTCAAGTTCAGCTCAGGAGTAGTGAGCAGTGATTAAAAGGAAGTTGCAGTCTTTACATTTGTCTTTCTTTTTTTTTAACTATTATTTAGTGAATATAAATTTCCTAAGTACAGCTTATGGATTACAATGGCTTTCCCCCCATAATTTCCCTCCCACTCACACCCCTCCCATCTCCCGCTCCCTCTCCCATTCCATTCACTTCAAGATTCATTTTCAATTATCTTTATATACAGAAGATCAATTTAGTATATATTAAGTGAAGATTTCATCAGTTGGCACCCACACAGAATACAAAGTGTAAAATACTGTTTCAGTACTAGTTATAGCATTACTTCACATTGGACAACACATTAAGAACAGATCCCACATGAGAAGTAAGTACACAGTGACTCCTGTTGTTGACTTTACAAATTGACACTCTTGTTTATGGTGTCAGTAATCTCCCTAGGCTCTAGTCATGAGTTGCCAAGGCTATAGAAGCCTTTTGAGTTCGCCGATTTTCATCTTATTCCGACAGGGTCATAGTCAAAGTGGAAGTTCTCTCCTCCCTTCAGAGAAAGGTACCTCCTTCTTTGATGGCCCCATTCTTTCCACTGGGATCTCACTCACAGAGATCTTTCATTTAGGTCTTCTTCTTTTTTTTTTTTTTTTGAGGTGTCTTGGCTTTCCATGCCTAAAATACTCTCATGGGCTCTTCAGCCAGATCCGAATGCCTTAAGGGCTGATTCTGAGGCCAGAGTGCTATTTAGGACATCTGCCATTCAGAGTCTGCTGTGTATCCTGATCCCGCTTCCCATGATGGATCATTCTCTCCCTTTTTGATTCTCTCAGTTAGTATTAGCAGACACTAGTCTTGTTTGTGTGATCCCTTTGACTCTTTGACCTATCAGTGTGATCAATTGTGAAGAGAATTTGATCACTTGGACTAGTAGATGGCATTGGTACATGCCACCTTGATGGGATTGTATTGGAATCCCCTGGCATGTTTCTAACTCCACCATTTGGGGCAAGTCCGATTGAGCATGTCCCAAATTGTACATCTCCTCCCTCTCGTATTCCCACTCTTATATTTAACAGGGATCACTTTTCAGTTAAAATTTAAACACCTAAGAATAATTGTGTGTTAATTACAGAGTTCAACCAATAGTTCTAGAACCAAAAAAAATACTAAAATGGATAAAGTATTACAATGTACATCAAAGACAGAACAACTTTGTCTTTCACAGAACATTAAAGGAACCCTATCCTAATGTCCCAAGAGCAGCCCTTGGATGACTTGTTTTTCTATACCAGTGTTCTGCCTTGGAGCCCCTGCAGCACAGCTAACTGCCTCAAACCTCTGCTGGTCCCTGGAGACGTGCTGGCTGCTTTTGTTTTCCTTCTGATCCTCGGTCCTTCTCTTCCTGTCCCTCACATCTGCGTCAGAGGGTGAGGAGCAGAGACACTGGGAAGGTTAAGCCAGAATGCTTTTCCATGGGGCTGAGCCTGTAAGCAAGGCTGAAAACACAGGTGTTTGAATCAGCCTCATCCGGGTCAGAACCCTCTTGATTGTTTCACACCAGTAGCTCTAATTGCCTTGTGTTTTCCCCCTCTGTCATGGATTGCTTTGGGTTTATGCAGGTACACACTTTCCTTTTCAAGTACATAGTTGGACTAAAAGATGCAAGTTCCTTGAAAAGGCTGCTGCAAGAAACAATGAAACTGACAAGAAAGACTGAATTTCTGAACTTGAAAACAATTCTCCACGTGTGACATTACCTGCACTCTCTAAGTCCTTTTTATCACTCTCTCTTTAGAGACCTGATATATCCTCTGTAGGAATATGAGTCCTTGCTCTCTAGGCCCCTGAGTGCTCTGGGCTATTTGCAGCTGAAGGGAACAATTGATGTACTCACAGTGAGTTCTCTGTTCTCTGTTTAACAGGCCAAAGGGAATGTGAACAGTGTGGTGAAGACTACTGGTCCAATGCAGAGAAGAGTGAGTGTGTGCTCAAAGAGGTGGAATTCCTTGCTTATGATGAGGCCCTGGGCTTCACGCTGGTCATTCTGTCCATCTTTGGGGCCCTTGTAGTCCTGGCCGTCACGGTTGTATATGTGATCTACAGACATACTCCCCTGGTGAATGCCAATGGCCGCGAGCTGAGCTTTCTTATTCAGGTTTCTCTGACCATCACAGTGCTGTCATCCCTGCTTTTTATTGGCAAGCCATACAACTGGTCCTGCATGGCCTGTCAGGTCACTCTGGCACTGGGCTTTTCTCTTTGCCTAGCCTGTATTCTCGGGAAGACCATTTCACTATTTTTAGCCTACAAAATTTCCAAGTCCAAAACCCGACTTATATCCATACGTCCCCTTTATTGGAAAATCATCATACTAATCTCTGTTCTAGTTGAGGTTGGCATATGCACTGCTTACTTGGTGTTGGAACCCCCAAGGGTATACAAGAACATGGAATCTCAAAATATAAAGATCATATTTGAATGCAATGAGGGCTCTGTAGAATTCTTGTGCTCAATGTTTGGGGTTGATGTCTTCCTGGCCTTGCTCTGCTTCCTTACGACCTTTGTGGCTCGCCAGTTGCCAGATAATTACTATGAAGGAAAATGCATCACCTTTGGGATGCTTGTGTTTTTCATTGTCTGGATCTCTTTTGTCCCTGCTTACTTGAGCACCAAAGGGAAGTTCAAAGTGGCTGTGGAAATATTTGCAATCTTGGCATCCAGCTACGGCTTGTTGGGCTGTCTATTTGCTCCCAAGTGCTTCATTATTTTGCTGAGGCCAAAGAGAAACACTGATGAAATTGTTGGTGGAAGGGTCCCTGCCATAGATAAGAGTGTACAACTGACTTCAGCTTCTGTGAGCAGTGAGCTTAACAACACCACGGTGTCCGCTGTCGTGGCTGATTAAAGTTGAAGGGCATATGGCCTTCAAGGCTGCAATGGTGACATGTCCAACATACCCTTTCTTTTTTTTTTTTTTTATCTCCTTTCATATCACATGACTCAGCAATGCATTCTCATCAGACTTGTGCTTTTTGCAGTTATTTTTTTCTGATTGGCAATAGATTTGAGAAATTAGAGAAAGTAAATATTATAAATAATATATCAATTGAACTTCTATGTTTAATATTAATGTTTACTATGTAGTATTGCACTTTTAATTAGCTTTTATCTAAAATACTTTGAAGTAGTCTCTTGTCGATTTGGTACACATGCACTGTTATAGAAGATGACTTAGTTATGAAGCTGAAATGAATAATACCTGATCGTCTAAGAATAATGGGTTAATTTGCAATATGGTTGTTTTTATGTAATTATTTATCAAGTATTACAATATTCTCGTAAACTTCAGAGATATTTTCTCTTTGAATGAATGTGTCAACTAAAAATGAATTCTAGTAAAATACATAATGAAATCTCTGCCAGTACATGCTGCTGTGTAAAAGGATCTCTGTGCAGGTCGCTTGTGACACTCCCTGCTGACAGTGAGCACTTGTTGGCAACTACACGCTGGGCCCTGGGGAGAAGCTCAGAATTAATTTCAGGGCGTTGGAAAAAAATTGTGTTTCTGCTGGCATGGGGAGTAACAAAGACTAATTGCTTAAAATAAAAAATATGCAGAACAAGACTATACTCAGGGTTGATCTTCACACATGCAGGATTGAAATCTTGTGGTAAATGGAATGTGTATCACAACTGCTCAAACCCACACTGTGTTTCCTTGCATTAAGGCAAATAAAATTCCTGATGTAAAGTGAATATATTTTCACAAAATGTAATCTGGTCCTTCTTTCAGGTGAATATATTATATATATATTATTATTATTTGAAAAGCAGAACTATGGACATAGAAGGAAAAACAGAAAGAGAGAGATTTTCCATCAGCTGGTTCACTCCCCAAATGGCTGCAATTGCTGGGACTTGGCCAGGCCAAAACCAGGCTCCTGGAATTCCATTTGGATCTCCCATGAGGTGGCAGGAGACAAAGTACTGCTACCATCCTCTGCTGCCTTCCTAGGCTCGTTATAGTAGGGAGCTGGATCAGAAGTGGAGTAGCAAGAACTTGAACCAGTGGTTCCATGGAATGTCAGCATCTCTGATTGTGGCTTAAGCCACTGTAACATAACACTATACCCACTAGATTAATCTTAAAACACAGCTGTAATTTCATCTCTTCCCAGCTTATCAACTCCCAGTGGCTCTCCAGTCTACATAGCATGGGTCTATCTGCCTTAATTTGACCCTCAAATCCTTCCACATTGTTGTACCTTTCCTTTTCAACAGTTGTCACCTGCCATCTTCTTGTCCACATTCTTTTAATGCAACCAACTGAATTTCTACAACCTTTGGATCCTACCTCCTATGTTCTTGATTCCATGTTGGCCACACTGTTCTGTTTTACATCCAATGTTCTAACAGCATTCCATCCACCTGTCCATCCATCCATGCATCTTTGTATGCATCAGATTCTGAGTTAGGTAAAGAAGATATACAAAGACAAGGCATGATCCTGATCTCCAGGCCCCTGTCATCTTTAGGGGTGACAGATAATAAATCAACAATTACCCTGTGATGCAATAAAGCTGTGATTGTGGTAGCATATAGAGGGACAGAGTATGTTGGGGTTAAGGAAATTTTACCTATTGAGGTGACACTTGAACAGATTTCTGAACAAAAAGAAGGAATTAGCCACATGAAAGAAGGGTGAACTAATGTGTGTATCATACCTAGCCTAGTGCTTTGAGCATGGTAAATTTCAACCTTCCTTCCATTTTGTAAAAAATAGTATATATTTTAGAGCCCTTTCAATGAGACTGGCCATTTTCTGTTTTATTCTGCTTTCATATCCTGTCTCTATCACTATAATTTATTTTTAAGGTATCTATATCATCATCATCATCGTCATCATCATCATTTATCAAATGTCAGTCTAATCTCTATCTTTGTAGTCTTATCACCTGAAATACACCTTGCACAAAACTGATACTATCTTTTTAAATGGATGGCTGAATAAAGTTTTCAAAATAGCTAACCTCTCACCTAGTAAGGCCCAGGGTCAGTGTTTCAATGGAAGATAAGGAGAAAAGTCTTGAGAACTGGAGCATAGCAAGGGTTTGGGAGAGTGGGAGAGTCTTTTGGTGTCTCCAGGAGAGAGGGGCCAGCTAGAGCCACAGGCACAATAGCTGGGGAGGGGGCAGTCAGTGGAACTGAAAAGAAAGAAATGAGTTGAAATGGCAATAGAACTCTTGAGAAGACTATTTCCATAGTATTCATTTGGCTATTTTCACATAGTGCTTTCTCCCACATATATAAAGATTAAAAATATTTTTTTGTTTGAGAGGCAGAGAGACAGTCACAGAGAAAGAACTTCGTTTACTGGATCACTCCAAAATGCCTACAACAACCGTTCCTGACAGGGCTGGGCCAGCTCAAGCCAGGAGCCGTGAACTGCCTCTTAGGCCATGTTTTAGGAGGAAAGTGCAATCAGCAGCAGAGCTGGAACTTGAGCCCAGATACTCACATATGGGATATAGGCATCCCAAGCTCTATCTAAACCAGCAGGTCAAGTGCCCACCCTCAGATTTGAATTTTTGAGGAAGAAAGAATAAATATTTTTTGGACCCTTCCCTTAGCCACAAGTTCATCCCACTTGATTGGAACATCAAAAGACAGAGATATTATTTATTATCTTAATGTAGAATTATTAACACATTATGTAAAAATTTATGTAAAAGATCTTTGGGAATTCACTCATTTGCATATTTGGAAGATGGATATTTATTGCCTCTGATATTTTTGGAAAATCAGCTTGGACATGAGAGGTGCAATGTGAAAATCTGAGGAGACTAGCTATATCAGGGTAGGTTAACTGTTTGAACCATCCACTACTAAACGTCAGTGGCTCAACAGATGAAAAGTAAGAGCACACTTGCTGGCCTCCTCCAGGCAGGGTCTCAGGAATGCCGCTGGATATTCTCTACTTGCCCGTTTTCTGCTTTCCCCACTCCATGCCATGACTTCTATGGACTGCATCCCATGGACTCCCTTGTCTGTGGCTTCTAGTGGATTTTGCCAATGGGAGAAACTCATGGGAGACTGGAAGTATGAGGAGAAGACAGAGTCTTTGTTGTTGCAGCCATGGCTCATTCCTCCATCCATGGCCTCTCTCCCATGGCAACAGCTCTTCCTGGGGGACACGTATGCTGATCTGGCCCCTTCTACTTTTATACCTGGTTGTGATATCAACTTTGCCCTCTTCCTAGCCACCATTTTCCATCACCCTTTGTTAGATGCCCTAACATTGCCTGTTCATGTCAGTAGTCCCTTCTTTGCCTTGCCTCTCCTTTGCATATGCCAGCTGTTTCCTGCTGGCCCCTGACTCATCCAGGGATCCATGTTCCTTTCATTTTATGACGCTTCTGCCTTCAATTCAAGCCTCACAAGATTGCTGCCAAAATGGAAGTGGGTCTGTGAGGTCAGGCACTCGCACTCAGTCACTAAGACCCATAATAAGACAGCTATTTTTACTCACATTTTTCTGGTTGGAAGTTGTCCCCATCTAAAGGCAAGAGAGGTGGGAAGCTGTCTTTGTCAACCAGATCTATGTTATAGGAAGGGAACATGACTTTTTAGTGAGCAGTCCGCCATTTGAACACACCAGAGATTAAATCAAATGCTCTGATATAGACAGAGGTATCCATAGAATGCTTCAAATAATGTCCGTAGAAAATTGAGCACATAAGATTTCTAGAGGATTTTGAAAATGTTGCAGAAGTTGCATAGTTTTTGAATTTATCAGACCACTTTTCCCCCCATAAAGTGACCAAATTGATTACACCAAAACCCTAGGCAAGATAACTTCAACATAATGCAATATGGAATTCCTGTGTGTGACAAAGCACTGCCAGTTAAGAGTTACAAGATCCTTGTGAGGTCAGAAATGATGTGGAAAGAAGATAGAGGTGATGGTGCTGGGAACTGGAACATCCCAAGCTGCCATTAGACGGTGAAAAAGAGCTAAATTCCATTCTCTGCACAGCAGCAGAAGTTAAGAGATCTTTGTGGAGGTCCAACCCCTAGAAGAATGTAATTCAAATACGTGAAGGTCTTATAGCAGCTGCCTGGGTCTGGGCCCTAGGAGCTCTTGAAACTATTGAATGAAAGTGTTTGTCAAATATCAAACCTCCACAGAGAAGCAAATGCTGGGAGTATGATCCAAGCTGGCTAGAAAAAGGAAAGTGTTTACTCTTCACATCAAGAAATCATTTGATTTTTTTCCAGAGGATTCTGCTTTCTTCATTGTGACTGGCATCTTGGAAGGTCCTTTTGGAGACTTATCCTACTAGGTGACCGATCTTAGGTTTCCCATTTATTTTTCCATGAATTATTTCTAAAAGGAGGTACTAGAATATAATTTGAGGGATGCATCAGAAAGTTCTTAATGGAGTCAATCAATTACTGAGAAAGAATGGCTGCACCGTAAGTTCTGTGAAATCTCTTGTCTCTCAATTCAGCACTTGGAGCAGCCTTGATACTCAGGATTTAGGGATCTCTGAAGCCTGGGACAGTTGCACAGGTCATAAAGAATCTACCTTCCCTCTTCCAAGTGTTCCACCTCTCCCTTCCATCTTTAAGGGAGACAGTGGGAGAGAAAAGAGTAGAATTTCCATAGAAAGGACCTTGGCCTGGGCCTTAGCTGTCCTGAGTGCTAGTTCTACCTTTGCCAGCTATTCGTTGTTATTTCGAGTAAGTGAGCAACTTTCCTTGTGAGAGGAAGATGGAAGTCAACTATTGGTGACATGCTTTCTGTGTCTACTGGCCTAAGACCTAGAGATAGATTCTGGGGACGTGCGTAGTCTTGAGGAGGCTGGAAAAGGGGAGCAAGGCTGTTTGAAGGAGTTGTCTCAAAGACAGCTGTTACCAGTGAGGAACCCTT